GGTGTCTTGGAAGGATGGATAGGCTGCGGAGCAGGCTAGGGTGAAAGGGAGGAGGCTGGACAGGCTGAGGGCAAGTAAGAGGGCTCAGTGATTATCGGATGGAGGGTATGAGGGTATTGCCGCTACCTTTTCTCTGACTGGTTTTAGCGTGGCCAAGCCATGTGCATTGAGGGAGCGGTACTGAGTCCTACCCCTGGTGTGCAAACGAAACTGAGAAACAACCCTGCTTCTCTAGTGAGAGAGAAAGTGTGGGCAAGAGGGGAGCCTGCTCCTCACCAGGTTTTTATACAATTATGCAGGGAAAGGAAGGTCAAGTGCAAATCTTAGGAATATTTCTGATAGCCAAAATGTGGCAGTTCTGTGCAAAGACTGGGAAATTGTGTTTGTGCTCCCACACTGGGGTTCCTACTAGTTGTGCCTGGGGGAGGGTTTTATCAAACCAGAGACCCAAATCTTCCCATCTCTGTATCTGCCCTAACATCTTGCTACTTATTTCTCAAGTCACCCAAACCCTTTTAGACGTGAGCTTGCTCGTTCACCCACTGCCACCTTAATCCTACCTCTCCTGCCAAAAACTGTCTCATCCCTCATCCCCAGTACATCTTTAGCTGTTGTTTAGGTACCTCTGCCTTACCTATCCCCCTCCTTTCTGTCTCTTTTGGCATCCCCACTGGCTGTGAGTATTACTTACCTCCTGTACCAACTAAAGCCAGTGGCTCTCATGGTACAAGCACAGATGGGCTTGTGCTCCAGCTGGGCTTTCAGAAACCTGAATGCCTCATTAAATCATTGCTGGGGGAAGAGGCAGAGTGAGTTCAGACACTGCTTTGCCAAGGGAGAAATAAAATAAAAGTTCTCTTTTCCTGCATAGCTATTCTAATCACTGGGTTTGGATATAAAAAATGCTATTTTTGAATCTATCATTGAATGTCTGAGTTTGTTTTCTTCCCTCCAGTAAAACTTCTCAGCAAATTTGAAAATATTTAGAGAATCTGAGTCTATGACATCTAGACTTCAAAAGTAATATTCAGAAGTAAAGACTCAAAAGTACCATTGGGAAAAAGTATATTTGAGATTAAATGCAATAACTGGGGTGGAGGTGGGGGTGGGAGGGGTGGAGGGAAACCTAATTTCTAGTGCCGCTGCCTGAATCTTAAGAAACTTTGATATTTAACATTATTAGGCACAGTTAATCTGAAAAATAACATGCTTTTAAAGCATAGATTTTCTTTTTGTGAGAAGTAGAACCAGGATTTTTTGTTTATTCTTCATTCTTTCAGCAGCTGGCCTCAGGTTCAGTTTATGTGCCATTTAGTATTTGCAGAATAATAATTTTTGAGCATTTGGTTTGTGTTTTGTTTTTCTGTCCTCATGAATTCTTCCCTAAGCATACCATTTTTATTTTTTTTCTGATTCTGCCTTCCTGTTGGAAGTGGGCTTTAAAAAACTTTCATTTCAATGTCAGTGCATTCAAACATTCGTCACATTGCTTTGCCCTGTGTATTTTTACTTTGCTTAGTTTGGTGACTTTTTTAATCTTTTATTTAAGTAGCCAGGAGATAAGTTATGAGAGACTGCCAAGCGTAATAGTCTGTTCAATACTCCCTTACAAATCAAGGCATTATAATGGTTCTCTTGCTTAAACAGTTACTTTGCCTGTGATCACTTAAAGGAGCATAAAAACAAACTGATATTTAGGTGCTTAAATGCTTTTAAAATTGCAGTTCAAAGTGCCACAGTAGAGCTGTGACTAGAAAAAGTTGAGAGCCCAGTACAGAAAACAAACTAATGCTTATCAACTCAAAAGGCTAGAGAAGGTGAAATTTGCCCTTTTGAATGCTTGGGATACTTCAGTCATAAAGCATTACTTTTACTAAACAGAGGAGTTTTGCAACATCTGCCATTTGCACAGTTTTATTTATTTTTATTTATCAAGTCTTCCTGAACAGGGATATCTGCAGTTCCCAGTGGAGCTGTTTCTATGGAACCAGAGGTTCATTTATTTGTTTAGCCACAAAAGGAAGAGAACAAGATATGCAAATGCCATCAAGCTCCATGTCTGTTACCTTGCCAAAAGCCAGCACACCTACAATACCTCACGTTAATTTAAATATATCAAACGCTGTTTCAGTAATCTTACTAATTTTATTGACATTCCATCTTTTTCATAATGAAAATATCACATTCAAAGACAGATCCTGTGTTTCTGGGTGCTACTCCTCTTTCTGATATTTCTGTGTCTTTATGCAGCCCTTCTGTCTTTGTAAAGTATTGTTGATGGGACAAAGAAGCGGACGTCAAGAAACAAGCAAAAAACTAGAGATGGCACTAAGTGAGCCTACGAAGGCAGAAGCAAAAGTACAAAATAAAGAAGAGGAAGCTGAAGACCTGAAGGCCAAAGTCCAGAGGCTAACGTCAGTCTTTGGTGTGGCAGACTTAAAAAACGGTAATAATGTTTTGTCTGCTCTTCACTCATACTTTCTAATACCTGCTGTTCCATTCTCGGTCCTTAGCCTATGTTTTCTCCTATTCTTTACCTCTTCACTGAGGAATATATAGGTGATTCTCATTTTGCCCTGCCAAGTAACCATTTTGGTTGGGTTTTTTTGGAAAGGGATTACATGAGGATCTCTGAGCTTTTTCCCATTTTAAGTCCTCAGATTGGCCACTATAGCCAAAAAGGTTTAGATGCTGTCCCTTTCTTTTTCCAAATACAGCCAGCATTGCTTCTGCATTTGCTGAACCATGGACTAGGCCCTAGTTATTCTGCTGCATCACTAGATCGGCCGCTCAAAAGCTTCCAGCAGTATTTCAGGTGTACATACTGTTCTATCCCAGATACAGCCCACCCTTAACACCAACTCTACGCGTTACAGAGTTGTTCGGAGTTCCCATTCCATGTCCTCTCCCCCTTTGGTGATGAATTCAGAAGAGAACCTTCTCATTTCTGATCATGGTTACTTATACTACTTCGGGGCACAGAATATGCTGTCTTTTTAGAAGCAGAATGAACAGCTGTGACTTCTTTTTTCCACTTCTCTCAAGCTAGTTCCTTTCTTTGAAATGGAGACAAAGAACAGCAGAGGTAGACTGAAGGGGAAACCTGAAGCCTGTATGGTGGACAGCTAGGGTGCGGTCCCACATGCAGCTCTTCATCTTGTTATTAGGCCTGGCTGTGTAAAAGGGTAAATAAATATCCTCATACAGGCATCTTTTGGCTTCTGTGCAGTTTTTATTTTATGTCTAGTTGTGTTATGAAAGGACTGAAAAGAGAGGAGCAGGGAGACATCTGAGTGCCATAATCCAGGCTTATTTGGATTTTTCCTGTAAGTTGCCAAACAAAAATACATGTTATCTGCTTGAGCAACATAAGAATAAGATTGAAGACTTTCTCAGGTCTGACCAAGATGCTGCGCCTATATCCTGAATGTCTGAATATGTGCAAGAGGAGTTTGCCTCTTTCAAGTATTTTCCACTTTCTTTTATTATATCTATTTCTGGGCCTCACTTCCTCTTTTTCTGTGCCTACAGAAGCAATTGGTCTCTACAACATTGGACAGAGCTGCTGCCTGAACTCTCTGCTCCAAGTGTTCTTCATGAATATACGCTTCACAAGGATACTTCGAAGGTATCACTGTTTTGAACTACCTGAGATACTTCCATTGTTGCTCTGGTGTCTCCACTCCTTTTTTACATGCGAGGTACATTTGAAGGCTTGGCTCATCAAGGTGCTAGCAAAGTGCTTTCAGCTCACTCAGCAAGGTCTCTGCCTTGTTGTGTCTGTCATACACAGACTAGGCCCTACAAAGGTAGCAGTTGCAGATGACTTGTTAGTCATCTCTGATTCATGTGCCATTTGCAGGCTGGTAAGCTACAGCCTTGAACTGAGTCTTCAAGACTTGTATCTCTCTTTTTTGTACAGGATATGATTTTATTCCTCATTTACTCATAGGCTGCTGTAACTAAAGGATGTGTTGCGTGTAACCCACTATTCATTTTGTAACTTTAAGCATGTAAATGTAAACTTATTGTGATCCTCTGTCCTCTGTCCTGGCTAGCATCTGATACAGAAGAGTAAGTGTTGTTGCAGAGGGGAAAAAAATAGTGTTATTTTGTTTTGCTTGACTGTGCTCCCTACTTGTTTGTGAGGAGGATTTGGGCTTCTGCCTCCCTACCAACCACACTAGTAACTGGTTTGATTTGCTTTTAGTTTACCCAGCTCATTGCAGCTTTAATAGTCTAAGTGGATCATTCCTATTCAGTCCTCCTTTCTCCAAATTTCTTACATGCTCACCATTGTGCAAAGAGGGAAGAAGACAAATTACGGACACACAGAGTTAAGAAGTGTCATAAATGGGCAAAGCTACATAATGAGATATTAGGTTACCAGTGGTATTTGAAGAAAGAAATAGAAAAACCTGTGGACTGCAATGAATTTAGGGAGGGTAAAGAGCTCTCCAACTGGCATCTATTTGAAATACAAGCATTATATACATGCTGAGAAAAGGTTAAGGTTATGTTGGCAATCAAGGCACGAACAGCTGAGAGGCAAGAACAGATCTAAAACTGGCTGTAACCAGAATGTTTTTTCTAGAGCCCAGAAAGCACTTCAGGTCCTGCTCAGTTTGCCCCTTATTCAGGAGCAGGCCAACTTAGAATTGTGGCCTTTTACTTTAGAACTGTCAGCCTGCACTGTGGGATGAGCTAGTGCACGTATCTGCTTCCCCTTTTTCCTTCTTTTGCTGGAAACAAGCCCATTCTGGTTCCTCTTGAGTTGCTGTCTGTGCTATCCCCCTCTGCTTCTTCAGGTGTGATGTGTAGTATTTCTCCATCATGCCACTCCATTACCATTCATGTCATTTCTCTTTATAGGATCACGGTGCCACTACGGGCTGAGCAGAAGAAAAGGAATGTCCCATACCAAATGCTCCGGCTGCTGGAGGAGATGCAGTGTGGCAAGCGGAAAGCTGTTAATCCCGAGGCCCTCGCTGTCTGTCTTTCAGTCTTCAAAGTGAAATGTAAGCAGCGCCACCTCATGCCCACCTCTGTCTGCAGATCAAGGGTGTTAATTTTCAAGCATTAACAAGCAGTGCAAACTCTGACGTCTCATTCAGAGATTCAGAAATGTGGGGATTTAGGTACATGATGATGTAGTGCTCTTTATAGCTCTCCTAATAGTGAGAGACATGCTGTGTCTTACTTGTGAAGAGGGAAAAATACAAGAGAAAGCCCCTGCTAGATATCCTTGCTGACGTCCAAAGGGTAGGAAGACTGTCAGACTGCTAGAAGTCTCAGCTCCTGATACTGGCCAGAGGGAAAGGGCTGTGCAGGGCAGAGAGAAGACAGCTTATACTTTGATTTGTCTTGCTATACTGGCATGATAATAGTGAAAGAGCTGCTATTTATTATTAGAAGGAAGGGATCGTGTGGAAAAGACACTGAGTTTACCCAGATCCACAAGGATAGAAACCATATCCTTCCTGTTCCTTGTTATAAGGGCAGAGAAAAGAATTTGCTGGCTTAACCTCCCACCTGGGCAGGGTCCCAAAGGAGAATGTTAAATGCACGGGGGATCAGTGACAATGGGATGCTGAGGGTCTGTTTATGTGTACATATACACACAGTATATCCAAATGCCCTCATCTTTATCATATAAAAGCCAAAAAAGGACAGCACTGCATCCACCGACAATGACATGACTTTGCACTGGGTTCTACAATGGGGCATTTGAGCCCTCCCATCTTTTCCCACTGCCTGCGTGGGTCATATGGAGACACTGCAGCTTGTCTCCAGCCTAAGCTCTGTCCCTGGCAGGGAGTGTCAAGGGAAGAAGACACTGGATCTGATGGGGGAAAATGAATCTCCCTTTGCCATCTGTGAGAAGTCTGCTGAGTGCTGTTCATTATACTGATTGAGGTTGTGTTTTCTGTTTGTTCAGTGTTTGTGCAGCATGATGCTGCTCAGCTCTTTCTGACTCTCTGGAACTTGATAAAGAGGCAGATGAACAAGCCAGAGTTGGTAAGAACAATCACTGAAAAGAACACAAGGTCTTTTGGCCCTTGTCATGTGTGGTCTAATGGGAGAGGGCATCTTGATTTCATAGGCTTCAACATTATGAATCACAGTTAACTTCTGTTGGTTCTACTTTTTGGGCATGCCAGGGTCTCCATTCTAATGGGAGAGCCAATTAATAACAAAAAGTTTGATTTTTTGCAACACTGGTGTGTCTTGACACAGCTTCTCAGTTCTTTGAAGTCAACCATGTGCATTTCATTGCAATTATTCACTGTTAGTATGTTATGTTTATGACTGTTCCTCCCAGGGGAGCTGTGGAAAGAAAGAGAAAAGTGACTCTTCCTCAACCCACTGCCACAGTTTTATTCATACAGAAGACAGGCTCCTGCTGCAGTTCCAAGCAAAACAGTAAAATTCTTTATCAAAGCAGATATTTAACTGTCTGGTCTTGTTATAGGCTGTGTCTTTCCCCTCTGCTATGGGATGAGGCAAGTAGTTGTTCCCCATTAAATGGTGGGAAGCGCTTTGTTCATGGAAGTCAGTGTCAGATCTGTCATCAAGCCTTAAAGCAGCAAGGTTGTGTGAAGAAATGTGTCCACACGGGCTTTCCTACCCACAGAGTGAAATGCCTCAGCTCTGTTCTTCATAAGCCTTGTTTTGGACTTTTTTTTACCTCTCCAGGTTGAAGAACTGAATGACTTGTACACTATCTGCATACAGGAGCATCTGGCCTGTCAGAAATGCTCTTTTGAGGAAAAGAGGAACAGCTGCATGTTAACCCTTCCACTCCCGCTGCTGGATGCCAATTGCCGCATGCTGAAGACTCTGGTAAGTCAGTGCCAGCACTGTTCCCTTAGGAAGAAGGTTACCCTCTGTTTACTGTGGGAGCCTTCTCTTTGCAGAACTGGTGTCTCCTGGGACTTGCCTAGAATGTCTGTAAGAATCTCTTCAGGGTGTTTGTCTGGTACTCTGAGGTGATCTTTTCTCATTCACATTTCTTCTTTATTTTGAGGGTTTCTGAATTTCTCAAAAATTGTGTTCCATTTTGGGGATAGAAAATAAAGTCCTTGAATCACCTTTCTAAAAAGAGTGTTGACTAAATACTCTGTAAGGCTCAAAGACTCATACTACACAGTGATGAGTACCTGTAAGAACTTAGATACCAGACTGAGGTGCCCTAGGTAACTTGTAATCCCTGGCCAGACACACTACATTTGCTCAGTGCAGTGTTCTTTTACTGTTACATCAGTACTTCTGTTTGGTATCGAGATGCAGCAGTGATAGTGGCTATCTAGGTGATGCCACAAAATAGACAGTGGGTTTCTCAGGTGACAGTGGACCACTGGGCCTTATTTATTCTCTGACCACTTTATGCTGTTTCAGCCTAAAGGAAACTTTTTCAAAACCCCTAACATTTGAAGTAGGTATAAAAGACTTTCATAAAGTACTTTACTTTTTTTTCTTCCAATTAATGCAATCACAGCAGCAGCTAAGAAGAAAAGAGGTGCCTTTTTTTTGGCAATCTTTTGTCCTTTGAATATAATATGCCTTCTGTAGCTTTTCTGTTTGCTTGTACCCCGTGAAAAAGAAGTAAAAATAGAAATCCAGCTTGAAGGAATTCAGTTGAAAGAAATCTCCTCTGTCTTCGTAGAAGGACTGTCTGCAACACTTTTTCCACCCAGAAGAACTGACTGATCACAACATGTGTTTCTGTGACCAATGTGGAAGGAAAACACCCTTTCTGCAGGTAATCGGATAATTATTTCCCCATATTTCTCTTCTGCACAGAACTCCCTTTAGGACTGGGAAGGGTGGGGACAGGACTCCTCAAGTTTGAGGAGATCAACAACAATACAAAGCTTTGTCAGTGCAGCAATGTCAGCTAGATATAAAGCACATGCATCTTTCCTGTTAGGAAGTTCCTTACTCTAAATGTAGCTCTAGCAATAAAAGAATGATTTTGTGGGTTTTCATGTAAGTCACCAAGGATTGTAGCATTTCTGTACTGGCAGAGAAGTTGGTTTATGTTAGTGTGAGGCATCCGTGCCCATGGCAGGGGGGTTGGAACTAGATGATCTTAAGGTCATTTCCAACCCAAACCATTCTATGATTCTTTGTTGTATTTCTGCTGTGAGGCTCTACACTGCTGCACAGCTCCAGGGGTAGACAAGAACATGTTACTGGAGCTGTGCATACACATGAATGTAGGATATTGGAGGGTGATTTCCTTTCTTCCCTGCTTTCCACTGGGCTCCCCATTTTTTACAGTGTGGATCTCTTCATGAGTTTGCCTCTTCATGAAACAGCTAATTCATCAGCTGGCAAAGAGAGGCTGGGGGGGAGACTCCTTCAGCTCAAGGCTCAGAGGCACTTTCCACAACATTATCACCATTGAGTCGCCTCCAAGGCCACAATGCATCCATATGTCTTGGTGGCAGCCATGGCAGCAGCAGTAACATCAACAAAGGTGGTGCTGGAAGGGATGGCCACATATGACAAGAAAATTGGGTTTGCCTCTCCTTACCTACCTGGTGCTACTAACCCAGAGTTAAGAAAGCAGGTTAGAAATGAAAGCCCTTGAGACATCCAATGCTGAAGTTGAGAAACTTGCTTATCCCAGCTTCAGATGAGCTACAAAGGCATCTGCTGTTCAGTGGAACTGGCAATCATTCATTGTAGCTCTGACTGTTCTCTGGGCTGCATTCATTGGGTGGCAATGGTTGTTTCCAGCCCACCTCACCAGGGCTTGTTCCTTGGTTTTCAATTGTGTTATTTATTGCTTTACAGAGCATGAAGCTAGTCCATCTGCCACAGACCCTGACCATACACCTGAAGCGCTTCTGCTTCGAAAAATCAGCCTACATTCACAAGCTTAGTCACTATCTGCCATTCCCACAAGACCTAGATTTCAATGCAGTCTTGACAGAAAGTCAGTGCCAAGCAGATGACAATGAAAAGGTGAGATACTCCTAATGCCCTGTTTAAAAAGAGCGTTTTCTCCTCCCCTCTGCTCAAGTTTCATAACAACTTAAGAGTCGACATCAACACTTGCCTCAGTTCAAAGCACCTGTTTTAAAAAGCTATATCCCAGGCTTTACCTGTGCCTGGTGCTGTCTCACATCCTATGGTTTTGAGTCGTTCAGGCATCATTCAACTTTCTGTACTCAGATTAAATCACCAAAGGCATCATAACTGGAGCTTTCTACCATAAGGACAAAAAAGAGGCTTTACAAGTAAGACCCCAACTTCTTTTTTTTTGTGAGTGTTTAGCATAACATTTTTCTTCCATTTCTAAATATACTAAAGAAAAGACTAAAGCAGTTCACCTGGATGACCAAATCCAGGCATTGTAAACAGCGTCTTTTAGAGGCAACTTCTGTCATGCAGTTTGGCCTCTAGCTCAAGATGATCTCAGTGTGAGCAGCAGACCTACTGCTTTGCAGAGGTCACCAGTCCAAGACAGGGGAATTCCATTCCTGGCAGTTTCCCATGTAGTGTTGTTTGTCACAGAGTTGAGGTTAGCAGGGAGGTGGCAGCTTTGCCAGGCAGCCGAGGGTAGATCCCTTACAGAGAAATAACAGGGGAAAGTATGGCAACAGCCAGACCTCAGTGGTGAAGTGTTGGCTGCAGTGTAACCCCTTTGCAGCCCCTCTGCTGTCCTACAGCCTTTCTGTATTCAGGAAGCCAGGGAGGCTGCCAGCCCATAGCTGGCAGGCAAAACTCTGAGGGTAGGAACAGAAAAAGCAGGATCCTCAAGGCCAATCTAATCTGTCTCCTTTTTCCCCACGGAACACACGTTCTTGCTGTCCTGGCTGCTGAACACCTTCTTGCTGTCCTGGCTGCTTACCCTCTTCAGCCAATGGCAAATGAAAATTGCTGCACTGAAAGCTACTCTTTGTGGTTCTTCACAGGCTGGCTGGCAGTATGACCTTTTTGCTGTCGTTGCTCATTCAGGATCAATTAGTTGTGGACACTACTGTGCCTACGTTCGAAGTCTCACAGAGTGTAAATGGTATTGCTTCAATGACTCTGAGGTTTGCCAGGTGAGGACACAAATCCCCATTTCTTTTGTAGCTTCGGGGATACTCCTCCAGCTCTCATCCAGTCTGTCTGACTGCTAATTATAGAGAACCAGGGAAGAAAATAGAAGCTGCAGAGCTCTGTGCGCCTCATTCTTCTACCACAGTTGAGCTGAGGGCAGAGCTGCTCTAGCTTCTGTACCAAACAAGGCCTTGGGTTCCGGTTTGCAGAAGCAGCCACTGGCTGTATACCCTACTTTATGTACTTTGGATCTGTTTAATGTATGTGTTCAGAAGAAGGAAAGGAACTGTTTTTCCTCAAGGAGTAAAACTGATAAACTCATTTATTAAAGGGTGTTTAGTTCCTGGAAGTACCACTTATACCACTCCTAAGAGAACTGCTGTGCTGATATTACAATGTGCCCATCTCTTGAGAGCTTTTACCAGCCTCCTCTTGTGTTTTTCTTCTCTAGGTATTGTGGGATGACGTGAAATGCACCTATGGGCATTCCAACCTCCACTGGTAATCAAACGTATCTGTTTTTACCAAATGTTGCTCTGCGGTTTGGAATGAGGGTAGCAAAGAGAGGGAAGACAAATAGTTTGAACCGCGTATTGTCAGGGGTGTACTGGAGATGCAGGAGAGCAGAATCCCTCCTGTAAGCTACAGTGCTACCAGGGAGTCAATATGATGCCTTAGGGAACACTGGAGAGGGCTGGTTCAGTTGACACGAACCTCAAAAAGCTGAGCAGGACCAAACCTGGGAGGTTACTTGCAGCCTGTGTCTTCAAACATACATCTTGTTTTGCCTTTTCTTTGTTTCCACAGGGGAGAAACGGCCTATCTCTTGATTTACATGAAAAAACATCCTCAGTGGCCTTATCCAGGAGTATGAGAATGTCTCGGGAAGCTGTGCATTGTCCATGGAGATCAGCACCTCTGTGCCAGTGTGGACGTGCAGAAGTGTTCCCCAAGAAAGACATTCCACATTCAGTCAGTGACCTCTGCCTTCACATTTATTTATGAAAAAATTAATAGAGAGACTTAGCTAGAGAAAGGATCTCAGAACTGTTGCAACTACAAAGTGTTTCTTTCATGTGTTTTTTGATACTTATGTGATTCTATATATAATTTCTACTTAAAAGATAGTAAAATCAGTCCTTGTCTCTTCCGACTTACCAGTTTCTTTGATGCTGATGCCTGCATTCCAGTACAAGGGAAGCATTTGGCTTCCGGAAGAAAGCCTGCCTGATGTTCTAGGGAGGCACATAGTATGGCTGGGGAGGGGTGGGAGGCAAGCGCA